TGTGTCGTCCTCGTATCTCCAGCATTGGTCTTGGACACACTTGCATTTCTCCTTGACTAACGACTTTATCTCCTCCATGTCCATCAGCTCTTTCGACGACATATGTATTGTTGTCTCTTCGTTCGACGATTTTGTACACTTGGTTGTCCCATTTATCTTGAATCTTGTTTCTTCCTCTGACTTTACGGTTGCGAAGGAGTACTCGCTCTCCGACTTGTAGTGGTTCAGCCAGTGCTCTGCCCTTCTGGTCATGGATCTTCTTTCTGACGGTAGCAGCTTCCTTCGAGTTTTGTGTCGCAGTGGTGTAAGCTTCTCGTAGACGAGTCTGGTGCTTGGTAATCCATTGCTGGTTGTCTACTGTCACTTGTCTGTCATCATCAGGAAGTAGAATGTCCAAAGGTAGCTTGGCATCTCTACCAAACATCAGGTAGAAGGGTGAGTATCTAGTCGTTGCATGTGGCGTAGCATTATAGGCGTAACATAACTCTTTCAGGTGTTCAGGCCACCTTCTTTTCTTTTCTGCTGGTAGAGTTCTTAGAAGCTCATGTAGTGTACGGTTGAATCTTTCGCACTGCCCATTTCCTTGAGGATGATAGGGGGTTGTCCTTGACTTCTTAATTCCATACACTGCACGCGACTCCTTGACTAGTTCTGCCTCGAATGACTTGCCTTGGTCAGAGTGTAGTCTTTGGGGGATTCCATACGCGAGGAACCATTCTTTAATCAGGGTCTTGACTACGGTTGTCGCTTTCTGATCGCGGGTAGGTATAGCAATTGTAAACTTTGTGAACACATCTGTTAACACAAGGACATTTTCTCTTCCATCTGTTGCAGGCTCGAGCAAGGTAAAATCCATCGCTAGCACTTCCGATGGCCTAGTAGCTAGTAGGCTGCCCATCGGCGTCTTGACTGGAAGGTAGGATCCTTTGGCGATGACACATCTTTCACGATTTGAGATCCATTGCTTCGCATCTCCTTGCATACCGGGCCACCAACATCTTTTCCTCAAGAGCTGTTCTGTCCTGTCTTGTCCTTGGTGTCCACATTGATCGTGCGCACCCTTCAGTACTTGTGATTTCATTGATGTGGGGAGTAGCAGTAACCGAAGCTCACTTCCCTGTCCG